ACAACTTAAAAACTATTCTTATTTTTATCGTTAAAAATATTTTTTCATTCAAATGAAAATTGATTTTTTTCAAAACGGAAAAAGGATTTTAGTTACCATTCCCCACTATAGGGACGATCGTGAAGATTTTCCTGATTTTCTCTGTTTTTTACGATTTATCTCAGGTTTGTTGCTCAACTATAAGTACCAGCACATCATTTTGATCGCCTTCAAATTTTCTTTCAAATAATATGACAAAAAAAAATATAAAAAAAAAATTCGTTGAATAATTAACCAAAAACCTAATGGAAGATCAATTTTCATTTGAATGAAAAAATATTTTTAACGATAAAAATAAGAATAGTTTTTAAGTTGTTTTAAACCTAATTAGACTATGTACAATTTGAATCTAAAAATTATTTTTAAATATCTTGGCTAGAAAAAAGTTATTGCGATTCAGAGTCCGTAACGCTTTTTAGAAACACACTGTATACTGGCCATAGCCATAAAAAATTAAATAAACCTTATAAGTTATTTCGAAGTGATAAATTGATGCTACTTTGATATATGATAATATTGATAAAATTACCAGAAATTAAATAACATCAGTCTAAAGATTAAACATTGAAGTTTTTTATGAGAGACATAATTCCATTTTCTGATGAGTAGGTCACTTTTGGGACAATATTTTTCATCAAGCGATTAAAATAATGCTTATCAAATGTTTTCAGCTTATTATTTATTCTTGCTATGAGTTCATCTTGGTTTTTTGCCTTCCATCCGTTAGCGTAGACTTTGGCCTTAAGATGAGAAAAAAAGTTTCAATTGGCCTCAACATAGGGACTGCGGATGGTTTTTCGAGCTTATTGACACATGCGATGCCAGCGCTATCTAGAACTTCTAAAGTTCGCTTTGCGTAATGAGAAGAGGCATTCTTTCGTTTTGACGCTCGTTTTGTTGGTCACTCACTTTAGGTATTGTACGTCGAGCTCGAACTTTGATATCATTATCAGATAGAATTTTTTCTACTGTTTTATCTGGTACCTTAATTGCCCGATCAATAGCACTATAACCATGAAAAATTTTATTTTCCATCATTTTGATTATTTTGTTTAATTCTCGACGGTTAACGACGATTTTTGGCCTCCCAAGGTTAGAGTTCAGGTCATTTTCCTTGTTTAAAGATAATTTGTTAAAGTAGTTGTAGGCCGTTGATTTTTTGGCACCAAATTCACGGAATTTACTAATTCATTTTTATTTTTTGATTCACAATTAGCAAAATAATGAGTTGAACACAGTTTTCTTAAACTACTCTGGTCTATGGCCAATAATTAACTAACTTTTTGTGCTAATCCTTTCAAATTTTGTCTAGACATCGATCACATTGTTGTTAATTTATAAAAAAAAACCGTTACAATTGAATCAAACCCTTTTCTCTTTTTTTTCTCAAATCGATTTTTTAATCTCATTCTTTATTTCAATTATAATTATGGTTTTAAACCAATTGATATTTGAATAACAGTTTTAATAAAAAAACAGTTTGATTGTTTAAGGAAAAATAAGGAAAAGCAGTTAATTACCAGAAAAAGATAAGTAATAACAATAATCAGTTGATTGTTGGGTTGATAAATAAACTCCTACATTATTTTACTCTTACCCTGTTGATTGTTGTAATTCGTAAACTGTCGATAAATACAATAGGTTATCGCATTTCCCCGTAATTATCACCAGCACTTATCATTGAGAAAAACTCGGCTTCAAGTCCCTTTTGACACTATTGGGTATGCATGGCTTGGAGATGAATTCTCAGCCTAAACGCTTAAGATTCACAAAGAAGCTCTTTTTTGTCATCAACCGAATATAAAACCATACGTTTGAAGATAAAAATTATCCACTTAAAGGGCTTTTCAATTAACTGAGAAACCGAATTAAACTTGGTGAATGTTGGTTAAAATATCAGCTCGTTGGTTAATTGTCAGCTGATTGCGAAAAATAACCGAGCTTTACCTTTTCCATTAACTTTTTGCCGTAGCTTGCACTGTGCTTTTCAAATAACCAACAAGTAGTCTAATCGTAGTGATGATTAGATAATCTAAAAAACTCACCATAACTCAGATTAAACATACAGTCGTGAAAAATGAGTTTCGAATGGTTTTTAATCATTCGCGCAGGTAGTGACTAAAATTAATAGATTAAACAATCAAGATAAGAAAATCAATGAGTAAATCATCTAAGTCTTATCACTGATGATAAAGATTATCAATTGATTTTAGTAGCTAAGTTGCGAATGATTAAAACCATTCGAAACTCATTTTTCATGACTGTATTGATGGAAAAATAGATTAATGGAAAAGCCTTTAAATTGCTATCTAATCAATTGGATCTTTTTCTAGTTTGAATCTAATTTAAAACTTGACGATCAATTGAAGAGTTTACAATCAACTCAGCTGCTAATTTACGTATCAGATATGATAAAGAGTAATAAGTTTTTTTTCTTGGATATGATTTACTTTTTTAAATTACTATTATTTCTACTATTATTACTTTACAAAGTTATTAGCAACAATATAAAATGTAACTGTTAATTGTTTACGTAGAAATCATAACTAAATCTTGTTTATTTATCAATATCTATGATTCAATTAATTTACCAAATTAAAACGACGCAATAGTAAACAGAAGGCTTTCTGGTTCAGTATTTGAGTCTTCATGTTAATTGTGCCCTTTCAAAGCAGTTCAGCTGCAATTAAGTTCAATTCAATTGAATTTTTTTTTTTCATATAAATTGTAGACGTTGGTTGATTTTGCATTAATTTGACTTGAAATAGTTACAGGTAACAGTAAATGATCAACAATGAATCTTTCAACTATACAAAGGAGAGTTTTACACTTTTTACTTTTAATCAATTTAACTCTAATTGCGATTTCGCAAATTGTATTGTATTGTCTGATTTCACCATTGAAATTAGTTTCATATTCATGTTTTATTAAATTGGACAAAATTTTGATTGGTTTGTTTGCCAGAATCATCGGTCCTTGGTTGACTTTACTGGTATACAAAGTGAAAGGTGAGTGATAACTTTTTTGGTTTTTGAGTAAATTTAATAAAATTTGCAGCTTCGTTTACAAAATTGTCGCTACTTGGCTATCATTAGTTGACCTGAAAAGTAAGTGATAACTTTTTTGATTCAATAATATAATTATTACCAATTGTTTCTTAGATTATCGATTGGGTCCTGATCCAAATGAAATAATTGATTTATCATCTCCATCGGTCAAGATACTAATTGTCTGTAACCATCAAACGGTCATGGATGCTGTTATAATGTACTTTGGATGCCTCGATAATAAGTTTGTAAAATTCGTCCTTGTTTGGAGTAAATATTATCGATTTAGGATCAATGGACTAGTTCATAAAATACGAAATGATTTCGGCATTGATTCGAGTTTCAAGAAAGGCGATTTCGTTGAATACTGGGAGTTGACCTCGAGAAATTACAATACTGTTGTTCTTTGCCCGGAAGGTATTTATAAATGATAATGACTAATTTAATTCGATTTAAACGTCTAATTTGATTCGTTTGACAATTTTTCAAGGTGCATTTCGAAATGTTTACTTGGAATCAAGTTTCAGATATGCTGAGAAAAATGGTTTACCCCAATTGACCAGAACTGTTTGGCCTCGAACGCGTGCTTTTCTCGATATAGTTGATAAAAGAAATGGTTTCACTCATATTATTGATACTACTATAATATATGATAATATCGATAAACTTACCAGAAATTTGTTTCTTCATACAGAGCAGTTAATGGGCAGTTCTTTCTATTCTGTGATCAGAGTATTCGAGATCATTGATGACGATAAAAGTGAGACAATCAACGATTATGACCAAATAGTCAACGATTTTAATAAAATACAATCATTAGAAACAGTTGAACAATCAGATTGTGTTTACAGAGTACCAAGAAGTAAATTAAACGAATCGTGGTTACAACAATTATGGTTAAGTAAAGACTCGATGATGAATTCATTTTACCAAGACAAGGACAATTTCGTTGGCAAATTCAAGCCTAATTGTTACAACCAAATCAATTTATTTCATATCATGGATTTCTTACTTGCCAATTCAGTTTACATCCCAATGGGATCAACAATAATCTACCTCGTTTATTTATCAATCGCTGCGATTTTCAAGCTTTTTATTTGATGAATCCATCAAACTTACCAATCAAGAGAGATTATGAAATAGTTAATTGTTGACTGCGATCCTGAGAGTTTAATTGAATAAATGTATGGTTTTTGTGGCTACGAATTAGTTTGATAAATTGTTGATCGAATCTGTTAATTGTTTCAATCATATTCATTATATCAAACAAATTGATCTTTTTCCATATTAATCAACATTGTTACATTTGAGCTTATTGATTAATCAACTTGTAACTTGATATTAAGCTTTAGTATTAATCATCAACCTATAAATTGTTACACGTATTAAAAATAATAATTAATTGTGATCAACAATTTTTGTACTTTCATTTGGTTTCACTTTAATCAACTAATCATAATAATGACACTTTTAATTAACGGTAAAATGATACCTCTTGTTTGACAAGCATGTATAGTTAATTAATTAATAGTATTTTAAAAAATAGATGAATGGAAAAGCTCTTTAAATTGCTATCTAATCAATTGGATCTTTTTCTAGTTTGAATCTAATTTAAAACTTCACGATCAATTGAAGAGTTTGCAATCAACTCAGCTGCTAATTTACATATCAGATATGATAAAGAGTAATGAGTTGTTTTTCTTGGATATGATTTACTTTTTTAAATTGCTATTATTTACCTTTACAAAGTTATTAGCAACAATAGACAATTGAAAATGTAACTGTTAATTGCTTACGCAGAAATCATAACTAATTCTTGTTTATTTATCAATATCTATGATTCAATTAATTTACCAAATTAAAACGACGCAATAGTAAACAGAAGGCTTTCTGGTTCAGTATTTGAGTCTTCATGTTAATTGTGCCCTTTCAAAGCAATTCAGCTGCAATTAGGTTCAATTCAATTGAATTTTTTTTCATATAAATTGTAGACGTTGGTTGATTTTGCATTAATTCAACTTAAAATAGCTACAGGTAACAGTAAATGATCAACAATGAATCTTTCAACTAGACAAAGGAGAGTTTTACACTTTTTCTGTTTAATCAATTTAACTCTAACTGCGATTTCGCTAATTGTATTGTATTGTCTGATTTCACCATTAAAATTAGTTTCATATTCATGTTTTACTAAATTGGACAAAATTTTCTTAGCTTCGCTTGTCAAAATTATCAGTGTTTGGTTGACGTTATGCTATAAAGGTAAGTAACTTTTTTGATTTTTATAATAAATTAATTTTCATTTGGTTATTAGGTTATCGGTTGGGTCCTGATCCAAATGAAATAATTGATTTATCATCCATAAAAGTATTGTTTATTTCTAACCATCAAACAATCATGGATTCTCTTATTTTGCATTCAATATTTCTCGATAATAAGTTTGTAAAATTTGTCATTGTTTGGAGTAAAGAGCATCAATTTAGACCTAATGGACTAATTTATAAAATACGAAATGATTTCGGCGTTGATTCGAGTTTCAAGAAAGGTGATTTCGTTGAATACTGGGCGCTGAACTCGAGAAATTACAATACTGTTGTTCTTTGCCCGGAAGGTATTTATTACTAATTGTTCATTGATTCCTATTTAAATGGTTTATTTGATTCAAATTTGTTTTAAGGTGGATTTCGAAGTGATGAATTGAAATCGAGTTTCAGATATGCTGAGAAAAATGGTTTACCCAATTGACCAGAACTGTTTGGCCTCGAACGCGTGCTTTTCTCGATATTGTTGATAAAAGAAATGGTTTCACTCATATTATTGATGCTACTATAATATATGATAATATCGATAAACTTACCAGAAATTTATTTCTTCATACAGAGCAGTTAATGGGCAGTTCTTTCTATTCTGTGATCAGAGTATTCGAGATCATTGATGACGATAAAAGCGAGACAATCAACGATTATGACCAAATAGTCAACGATTTTAATAAAATACAATCATTAGAAACAGTTGAACAATCAGATTGTGTTTACAGAGTACCAAGAAGTAAATTAAACGAATCGTGGTTACAACAATTATGGTTAAGTAAAGACTCGATGATGAATTCATTTTACCAAGACAAGGACAATTTCGTTGGCAAATTCAAGCCTAATTGTTACAATCAAATCAATTTATTTCATATCATGAATTATTTACTTGCCAATTCAGTTTACATCCCAATGGGATCAACAATAATCTACCTCGTTTATTTATCAATCGCTACGATTTTCAAGATTTTAATTTGACGAATTCATCAAAATCACCAATCAAGAGAAATTATGAAATATTTAATTGTTGACTGCGATCATTAGAGTTTAATTGATTAAATGTACGGTTTTTGTGGCTACGAATTAGTTTGATAAATTGTTGATCGAATCTGTTAATTGTTTCAATCATATTCATTCTATCAAACAAATTGATCTTTTTCCATATTAATAAACATTGTTACATTTGAGCTTATTGATTAATCGACTTGTAACTTGATATTAAGCTTTAGTATTTGAACAATTAATAAATTGTATTCATTAATCATCAACCTATAAATTGTTATACGTATTAAAAATAATAGTTAATTGTGATCAACAATTTTTGTACTTTCATTTGGTTTTACTTTAATCAACTAATCATAATAATGACACTTTTAATTAACGGTAAATGATACCTCTTGTTTGACAAGCATGTATAGTTAATTAGTTAAAAACAAAACTAAATTGTCAACATGATTAACCAAGCAAAAGTTTGGTTAATGTTGACAATTTATTAATTGTGACAACATAATAATAATATTTTTTTACTATAACTTTCAAATTGTAAGTTCAATTGTTTTTCATTGAAGTTGACAAGTTGATTATGATTAAAGAAAACAAGTCAACAATTAATTTGATCATAATATTAGTCTGATTTATTTGTGACACGATTAGTTAATTGTTGTCTTATTATTTATGCGATTTGATGAGCACAATTTATTTCCAAATGTTTAAACTAAACTTGTAATCAGTTGACCGCTGGTCAATTGTGATACTTTTTTATAGTAAGATTTATCATCACAATCAACGGAGGATAAAATTTCACTTTTAATTGTTACCGTTAATTGTTCACAAATTTTGGCTAAAATAATGATACAGTTAAGGTCAAGTTGTTGGTCAATTTAATGAATAAATTTGTACAACAATCAACTAATTATTATCGTTATTTAATCAATGGTTCCAACACTTAAGTTGACAATTAATTGCTATTAATTTGAATAATATGTTAAGTTGATTGTTATCATTAAAATTAATCTAATGAATTAGTTTATTCTTAACAATTAAAAGGTAAGTGATAATCATCAGTAAATTGTTGTAAATATAAAATTTATTAATAAACAATGAATGTTATGAATGATGATTAAGATAATTGATTTGAAATGTAAATTGTTTTCAATTGTAATTGTAGTTTTTAACCAAATTGATATTTGATTAAGGTTGTTAATCAAATAAAACAGTTTGATTGTTTAAGGAAAAACAAGAAAAAGTTTAAATTGTAGTTAATTATCAGAAAAAAACAGGTAACAACAATGAGACAATGAAAAATGATCAATCTTTATGTAATCAGTTGATTGTTGGGTTAACAAATAAACTCCTACATTGTATTTTTCTTACTCTTACCATGTTGATTGTTGTAATTTGTAAATTGTTGATAAATGCAATAGGTTAATCTGAGTAACAAGAGAAACAAAAAAAAATGTAATTATGATTAGACAGTGATTAGGTTCTGATGATTAAGGAGATGATCAAGTTTTAAGTATGTCAGACAAGATGAAAGTCAAGGTAAAGTCATTGAAGGTGGTTTATGATGAAGGTGCGGAGGAAGATGAAGATAATGATAAGGTGAATAATGAAGATGGGGAGGAGGTGAAGGTGGAGGAGGAGATGATGATAAAGGTGATGAGGAGGTAAATGGCCATAGGGATAAACCAGATTGACCGGATTCCATTGTTGATATTGGTACAGAAGCACAGAGAGAGAGAGAGATAATTGAAGATGAGGATGGAGATGAACTAAGTGAGAGTGGAAACAATTGCTGAGGTTCAAGGAGATAGTTCATCGGATGATTATGGTTTTTTCATCTCTCTCACTCTCTATCATCATGTTGCTCTGGTTGAGTGAAAAAACAACAACATGATTGAGCTACAAATTGTTAGGATGATGTTGATATAATTGATGTAGATGATGATGAGAGAGTCAAGTGAATCAATTTTGTCAGTTTGATGGTTTTTTTTACTTGAATCAAATTGGTTGTTGATGATCAACATGAGATGATGATAATGATGTTGATTGTTGTGTATCTTTGCAAGTTTTTGATAGAAATCATTTTATTGGATTAACAATTTCATCGCTTCAAATGATTATATAATAATGGAAATGATTACAAAATAATCAACCCATGATTCCGGTTGAACAAGATGAAAATTTCTGGTTCTCCCTTGGTTAAGACTTTGAGGTTTATCACCTTACGATTATAACAATCAACAAACTGAACAACACCAACAATTTAACTCTAATTGTAATGATTTAAGTGTTAAACAATAGGGATGATTGTCATTCGGTAAGATTTGATTGAAACAATCAACGAATCGATTGGAAAAAATCAAAAAAGTTTTCTGTTTATTTGGTGATGATGATTGTTACCATTGAATGGATCAGTCATTCAATTACAATTCTGGGTGATAATCATGATGATGATTAAGTTGATTGTAAAATTTCAATTACTGGTTAACACCAAATTCAAACAATTTAATACAATACCTGGAGCCACACCTTTGAAATCAGGAACGTAATTGAATCTTTATGATCAAATTATCAATATTAATTTGATTCTTTCATTAATAATATTTGACCTGATTAACTTTTCTTATTGATTAGTATTGATATTATAACCAATACGATGATCTAAATTGTTACAGGTTGAATATGATTAAATTTCAAGCAATTAAATCAATTGACAAGTGAAAGTGAACATACAATTGATTAAATAAAACAATTAAACAAAAATTTAGTTCAAATCCTTTTTCATTATTTTGATAATTGGTTAACCAATTTAATCATTTCTCATTTTTGATAGTTTAGTTGATTGTCCGGTTGATTGTCATGATGAAACAATTTACTTGATCCTAATGAAATATTGTCATATTAATAGTAACTGACAGTTGAGTTGATCATTAACTTTGATCATTAAAATGTATCAACAATTAACTTGAAATCTTAAATTGTCCAGCAAGGAAAAGTAAAGTAAATATCATTACGATTTCTTAATTGTTCATCAAAATCATGACTGATTAATCAACCAGAATGATTAAGAAATTTTGTTTAATCATGTTTGTATCATTGAAAATTAAACCAACAATTAAAATAACTATTATTATTGATACTTAATGGTTTAAATATAATAATAATCATCTTCAAATACAACATCAACAATTAAACAACAAGTAAACTAAATTAACTAATAGAGTCAACAACAAGTATTATGATAATGGTAAACAGAATTGAATTAAATCCTTGAAGCAACAAACTGAATCAAATTTAATTGTTTAATTGAATTTTCCTATTAAATTGTAAGCCAATGATCGTTTTAATCAAATTGTCAAATTAAATGGTTGACAGATTATCAGTCTTAGGTGTTGATACATATTATTATCCCTACAATTGAAATAACATCTTAATCAAATAAATTTTTTTTTCCATACATCAATTGTTACCTATTTTATTAATTGTAACAATTAGATAAATAAACATTGAGTTGTAACATAAAAAAGTCTACCTGTTGTCTAATGACAAGGTAACAATATATAAGTTAATCAAAAGTTTTACAGTCGATGAAAAAGTTTACAACGACAGTAATTAAAGAGACACAGACTGTATACCTGTGAAGATGAAGATGAAGATGAAGATGATAACAATAATAAAAAAGTTCTAGTTCTTAATCAAGGTAAATTGAATTTTCAATTGGATGGTTGGAGTAACTTTAATTCTAAGTTACATTGACAACTTCATCTGTTGGAAATTCAATTTTTACCTGTTGATATATTTTAGAATAGAAAACTTTTTTTTTCTCTTCTTCTTTTTTGGTCGTTTTCTATTCTTTTTCAGCATCGATGTGTGAGGCTCTAATTTAGAAAAGGTAATAACTTTATCTCTCTTTACAAATGATAATAATAGTATATCAGGTAAGAGAATTAGAGTTGGACAGTGTTCGAGGGTGGAGGTGGGAAGTGGTCGGTCCATTGAGAGGAAAAGGTTTTACTCTCTCTCTCTCTCTCTCTCTCTCTCTCTCTTTCTTTCTTTGGTCTACCTGGTAATTTAATAACAATTAGAGTGAACTTAGAGTGGGAAAAATATTATCAATTGATAGGGATTGTAGTAGATGGACTATTAAAATATATATATATTAGTTTTGCTTGCTTCTTGCCGCTGGTCAAGCAAGTGGACACACAAGGCTACCTGGTGAAAGGTAATAATGTTTATTTTGGTCATACTTTAATTGTATTGTGTTGATGGAGGAGGAGGATGAGAAGGATGATCAAGATTGTTGATTATTTATCTTGAACATTTTTTTCCTTCTCAATTATTTTGATGATGGTCAGTTCGGGTCAGTTTAATTTAATTGTTTCCTTTTGCAGTTGATTGTTTGTTTGTTGTTGATTGAATTTAAGTTTTCTTTGTCCAATCTCTCCCTTTCTCTCTCTCTCTCTCTTTCTCTTTATTTGATCAGTAAATTACTTCAACTTGATATAATTAACTGAAGTAAAGAGAAGGTAAAAGTAAAAAAGTTCTAATAATGAATTCGAAAAAAAAAATTCAGAGATCGATAACCAATAGAAACTTTTTTCTCCAAAATCAGAGAAAAGAAAAGAAATAATTGATATATGAAATTTTCTTTTCCAACCAAATCGATGGTTAAAGTTGTTGGAGAAAAAAGTTCTATACTGAGTAAATGCTATCGAAAGCAAGACAAATGAAATTGTTGAAAACAAAAAAAAAAAAACAAATAGTAGATCTTTTCTTCAATAGATGGAAGTGATAACCTGTTGGAAAGAAAAAAATATTAGCGAACTGCACTTGCGCAAGAGAGAAGAGAACATTTTTCTTCTATTCTCTTTTCCTTTATTATCTTTCAGTTTCTCGTTTTTCAAGTTTAGTTTTGGTCTTGACTCTTTATACTTTGCGTCATTTTTTGTGTTCCATTCTCTCTCTCTCTCAGTGTAGTTGAAAATGAAAATATACACAGTGTTTAGACTTTTTAACTAAAAGGTGATGTGATGTTAAAAGTGTCCATTGTATCCATTTGGTGATTTTCTCTTTTCGGTGATCTAAATTTTTGTGTTTTCTTTTCTTTTTGTTTTCAAATGGACACCATGATAATAACTAACTTGAAACTAGAAGAGAGTGAATAGATTTTTATAATATTATGTACCATGCAATCCATTAACTATTTACTATTGTTGTTATTACTCTTTTGGACCAACAATCTTGGATTAATTGTTGTTAAAGTTGTTGATTGTTATTCATCATCTTCATCATCTATTTTACCATCATCTTTATCTCCATCTTCCGAGCTGATTCAAGATGGTAATCGACCATTGGAAAGTATTGATCTTTCTTTCAATGGGATGTCTTCTGTTCCTGATGAGCTTTTCTGCCAACTTTCCAACTTAGCTGTCATCAATCTTTCCAATAATTTGTTCACCGATGTAGTATCCATTGGATTTTCATCTTCTGTTAAACGTTCATCTTCATCTTCATCTAAAACAATAACAATAATAATAATAATAATGGTAGTGGTCAAAACTCTAGTTGGTCCCATTGTTCAGTTAATTCTACAAGCCAATTGGATTTATCTTACAATCGTCTCAAAGTTTTAACTGATCGAGGCTTTTCTACCTTGACACATCTTAAGGTTCTTCGGCTTAATAATAATCGTATCTCACGAGCAGAAGAATCTTCTCTTAATGGACTCAGTGAATTAGCCTTACTTGATCTGTCCAATAACGAGCTTGTTGCCCTTCCACCAGGATTTTTTACCCCAATTAAAAGTTCACTTCGTGAATTATACCTTCAAAATAACAGTATTTCTGTATTACCACCACTTCAATTCAATGGACTCCAATGGATTCATATACTTAATATGAGCCACAATGAGATAGCCAACAATTGGATTAATGTTGACACTTTTGCTGATCTTACCTCTTTAGTGACTCTTGATTTAAGTTACAATCAATTAAATAAGATTGATTCAACAACCTTTAGAGCTCAAACCCGCCTTGAAGCTTTATATCTCCATCACAATAAGATTGAAAGTATTGCTGATAATGCATTCTCATCTTTAAATAATCTTCAACAACTAGTCCTTAGTTATAATCATCTAAACAAATTGGACTCAGCAGAATGTTTTACTGGTCTCAAAAAGCTACCAAGTTTACATCTTGACCATAATCGAATTGAACAAATTCATAATGAAATATTTCGTAATCTAACAAGCTTAATGGATCTTAATTTATCTCACAATTGGTTAAAGAAAACTGTTCCAGGAGCCATGTTATGGACACACTCATTACGAAATTTAGATTTATCTTATAATTCAATAAGTGAAATTGGTAACGCATCATATCAAGGTAATGCTCAACTGTACAGTCTTGATTTGGAAGGTAATCAAATTGGTAACCTTTCACGTGGTGTTTTTGCCGATCTACCTTTTCTACGGATCATCAATTTGGCCGCTAATCGAATTGAAGCGATAGAAGAGTCTACATTCATCGATGTTCCAGATCTTCATGTACTTCGTCTTGATTCAAATAGTTTATCCAATATAAATGAACTTTTCAATGGTTTAAGAGATTTACTGATGCTCAACATATCAGCAAACAAGATTGCCTGGTTTGATTATGCTCACGTTCCTTATGGTTTACAGTGGTTAGATATACACGATAATCTAATTGACAGTTTAGAAAATCTCTATGAACTTCAATCGTCACTTCGTTTAAAAACTCTTGATGCATCTTTTAATAAGATAACTCACCTTTCCAAAGCATCTTTACCCAATGGTATTGAAGTGATCTTACTTAATAATAATTTAATCAACCGTATCGACCCATCAACCTTTTTGGGTAAACAAAATTTAACTCGAGTTGATCTAACCAGTAATCGACTTAACACTTTACATCAAAATGCTCTACGTTTAAGTAAAGTCGCTTTACGTCGACCATTACCTGAATTTAATATATCGAAAAATCCATTCAGGTGTGATTGTAACATTGAATGGTTACAAAAGATGATCACCACAGATGAATCTCGACAATATCCTAAAATTGTTGATGTTAATCATATAATGTGTGACTTTGCTTTCAAGAAGAAAGTATCTCCCATGCCATTAGTTCAAGCTGATTCATCAAATTTCTTGTGTACTTATAAGAGCCATTGTTTTGCTTTATGCCATTGTTGTGATTTTGATGCTTGTGACTGTGAAATGATGTGTCCAGAAAATTGTGTTTGTTACTACGATCAAGCTTGGAATACCAATAGTGTTGATTGTAGTGCCAATGGTCATACAGTGGTACCACCAAGGATACCAATGGATGCAACTGAGCTTCACCTAGACGGTAATGACATTCCATCTCTCTCTAGCCACACCTTTATTGGCCGTAAATATATGAAAATCCTCCACCTAAACAATAGTAACATCTACACCATCAACAACCGCACCTTCAATGGCCTCATAGCCCTTGAGGTTTTGAACTTATCTCACAATCGGCTAATTACCCTCCATGGATATGAATTTGAACGCCTTGTTAATTTAACAGAATTATACCTTGATCATAATCGAATCTCAACTATTGCCAACAATACCTTTGCTGCCTTGACTTTATTACAAATTCTCCACATTGATCACAATTACATCGTTGATTTTGAAATCTGGAATTTCAATCTTAATTCACACCTGATGACCATTAAAATGGCCGCAAATCCATGGTCATGTGAGTGTCACTATATTGAGCCCGCTCTTGATTGGGTTCATTCAAAGGTTCATCTTATTTCCGATGCCAGGTACATGGAATGTTATTATAATGAAACTTCAGGTATTCCATTACTGCCCAAATTTAACATCTCATCGTGCACCAATCTTTCAGCACGTAAGATGTTAGCTCAAAGGTTCCAAGTTGAAAACTTTGTCCCGATATTTGTTATCAGTGGAGCACTTTTGGTTATAATTGTTGTCATTTTCATTGTGATTCTCATAATTAACTTCTTCTTCAAGGGTGAAAGCTCTAGGGCTCATCATGCAAGTCCTGAAACAATACACAAACATCTTAATCCACTTGCACATACTCATTCACTCATCCACACCACAAGAGGAAGTGTTTTCAACGATGATCTTCGAAATGTGAGAAACGAATGGAGAAAATGTTGAGATTTTTCTAAGTCAAGTTCATACAATTATATAATATAAATAAGAGTGTAAATAATCGTGTAAATAACCAGAACAAAAATGATCACATCAATACAGCAAAAGAATCAGAAGGAGCTCGAAATTTGGTCATGAAATAACTTTTGTGCAGATAAACGATAAGCCGAATGATGTATTTTCTGTTAACATGAGTTGTAAACAAAGAAAACTCTAAATCTACATACCGATTGGATGGCTATTTTTTCATCAACAAGACGTACAAAGAGTGTTTTTTATATCCATTGAAATTTATCTTCAAAAGATCAAAATAGTTTATATTAATTTCCAGTTCATACAATCTCATGTTAATGGAGAAAATATCATCTACTGTTGTTTCAAGCTCATCAGTCCACAGTCTTCATGTAGACTCAAGTTTCAAGTTCAGAGGATTTTCAATCACTTGTGCTGTGCATCTCTCACCTCCTTTAATTTATCTCTCAATCACCAAGATTAGGAAAAAAGTCTGACTGGAGGAGATACCTTCTTTTCCAATATCATCATCACCATCATCAATTTCACAACAACATCAACAGAAAAAAAAACCAGATTGTATGGAGAAAAAAAGAGCAAAAAGGAACATCAGACAAAAATGTGTCTCTTTCACAAGAAGGAGATGAAAGAAAAGCTAAAAGGAAAAAGAAGCCAGAAGAAAATCTGATAACCATCACAGGTCCTCATCAATAATATCTGGTCTCCAGATCTTCTACAAGCCGTCTAATCGTTTTCTCCTGGAGAAAAGAAAAAAAAACCACCACCACTACCACCACCAAAAAGACATCAAACAAAAGAAGGTCCCTCTCTCTCTCTTAAGATGCTCACACGATATATTGAAAAGTGCCTCACAAAAATTAATTTCTCTCTCTCTCTCTGGCTGTATATAAGTATAAAAATGTATATAACTATATATATATAAGTATATATAAAAACCTGTTCAATTTTTATCTACTTTAAAAATCAAAGATAAAGAAAGCGAAAGAAAAAAAAGTCTTACCATTCCTTTCAAATTCATATACTAATATTTATCGCGATTCTCAATCAATTCACACTTTAATGTAACCTTAACCTTAGGCCTTTTGTCCCCAATCCAATGTTCTCATTCACAAAACCATCTTCATCTTCTTTTATTGTAATTTAGTGTGATAAGCTCTCTCTCTCTCTCTCTGTCTCCCTCTTCCTAACTGATTATGTGATAATTTCATAAAGCAATCGGACTTTTTATCAAGTGAATCTGGTTCAAGAAAAAGCAAAGAAATTGTCAAATGGTGACCAGGATAAAACCCCAGAAAAATAAGAGGAAGACAAAAAGAAAAAAGAAAGAGGAAAAATAAAGTTGTCAAGTGAATACAATGCAAAAGAATAATAAAAAAAAATTATTATCATCAGCATCTTCCATAGGTGAGAAAAGTAAAGCAAAAAAAAGGAAGATGGAGAAAGTTGGAAAAAGTGAAAAGACTCATTGAACCATTGAGAGTTGAGGAATTGCCAAGGTTATAACATTATCGTGATCAACATCATCATCATAATAATAATCAGAGAGAAAATGAAAGAGAATTAAAAAGAAAACCAAGACGAGAGAGAGAGAAGATGATGAAACTGAATAGTTTTTACCTTTAGCAGCATAACCCTGACCCTCCCTCTTTTATCTTGCATCTTCTTTCTTTCTCATCTCACCTTAAATCTCAAAGTGTTTCTCCTTCTCCCCCACTCTCTTTTCTCTCACCCAGGTAACTTCAAACTCCTTGTAATGCAAAAATATTTTGATCTGTGCCCAATTTCCGGGTTAACATGATAACAACAAACTCATTGGAACGTAAATTGTGTCCATGGTAAACAACAAACATTCATGTTCCCTGTTAAATAGTGTTAATAGTTTAAAGAGTATCCTAAGCAACTATTACAATCAACTATTTCTTAATCTTCCTCTTCTTTTTTTCTTCTCTTTTCTCTATTCTTTTCTAATTTTCCCTAACTCATTGCACCTAAACAAATTTACCTTTTTCTCACCTTTTGTGACAAAGTATTAACACTCTCTCGTCTTCATCTTCATCTTCATTATTATCTCCATCATCTCCCACTTTCTTTTCCATTCAGCTCATATAAACTTTAAAAAGTATCCAAATGTTTAGTTTTGATTGTGAAAATGTATCATAGATGAGAAGAAGAAAAGAAAAAGTTTCTTTTTCTAATAGAAACAGTTTCGTTTCTCTCTCTCTCTCTCCATCCTCATCCTCCTCTTGATCATCCTCATCTCTAATACTATGATATTGTAAACATTCATCTGTATATATATTTGTACAGGGTGAGAGGGGTGTGGGTGGTTAATCAAGTGAAAAAGTTATCCCTGTTTGAGATTTTATTTTGTTTGATATATAATAATGATAATAATCAAACTAAGTGAATTAGAAACTGATTTAAAAATGATTTCAACGATTTAATGTCCATATGACAAATATAACAAGTTAATCAATTCCTCCTTATGTTAACAATTAACCTCACAATCTCCTAACCACAAACCGCTCACAAGGTAACCCAAAGAGAGACTGAAAATAAATCAATTGAATTTGATTTAAACAGTAACAAGAAAGAGGAAAGAAAAAAAATCAAACAATTAACTAATAAACATTTACACCCAAGACACCAAACAATTTATATAAAAGTAAATTAATAGAAAAATATAGATAATCAAGTTAATTGGTGATCAATGTTAAACCAATTTAACCAATCCAACTAATGGAATCAATTTCAATTGTAATGAAAAACATTCAACACTCATGAGAAGCTTAAATGTTACAACAATTAACTTTGATTATGTATTACAAGTTCTTGAAAAAGAAAAGCCTAATGATAAAATTAAAGAGATGATGATAAACTTTCAAGATGAAAGATGATGATGATGATGATGATGAGCCTCAAAGGTATGATAAAAGTTTGCATTATCTTCACTCTCGAGATATTTGTTTTTAGGGTTAGTGTGATGAACTGGCACGATAGAACCTTGAAAAACCCGTTTACCATTGAGAGAGAACCCAAAGCCTAAGAAACAAAAAAGGTAACCAAATAACCAGCACTTCTCATCCAACAGGTAACCTTTTTTTACATGTAACAAGAAAAATTTACCTTATAATCATCATCACCATCATTTTATCAAATGAATACACCGGCGAGTGTGTATAAGCTAAACACCACCCCAAGAAAACCCCACTCTCCTTTTAAAAGTTCACCCAAAGTAAGTTCACCAATATATGTATACAAACAATTTGATTTAATTACCTTGAATCACTAATTTGTTATATTCAACAACATGATTACCTGGTTCAGGTTCAATCAACAAGGAAACTTTTTTTTTAAGGTGTTAAACTTTTTCCATTATATTTTTCTGGTTCCTTTGGGTTATTCATTTGTTTGATAACTTTGTGCTCTCTCTCTCTCTCTCATCTTGTTGATTACAATCAATTTTAATTACCATTAATATTAATAATTGTTACACTTATCATCTGTCCCCAAACACTTATAATGATAATTAACCTTCAACATGATGTATTTAATGGGTAACACAATCAACAATTATTGGACCTGAAAGTGAAAATAATTGGACACTTTAATATTAATCATAAATGAAGGTATGAATTGTTTATTAATAGTAAACCAAGTAAATTTATGTTTAATTGGGTGAATCGTAATCAACTAATCACTTAGTTTAACCTTCCATTGGATGATGATGATGACCCTAATAACATTTAATCGTAACAATTGAAATGTTGATTAATGGCTAAAGTATTTAAATATTATCAATGGATGATACAAATTGTGAAAATCAAAACTAATCCAGTTTCAATATGATTACAATTGATTATTGAATTTATTAAGTAAAACAAAATGTTAACTAGAAAACATTGATTAACAGTTGATTTGAATTTTGTTGGTTAATCACGATTCACACTGTAATATATATCAGATGAATAGATTATCATTATTATTATGATTAACTAATCACTAATGAATAACAATTTGTTTCCAGTGTTATCCTTGATTAATACAAATGATAATAAATCTAAATCAATGTTAAATCATAATAATAATACAACAAATGGTTGATTGTAATCGTAATAACTAAAAAAAAGGTAACAATAATAGTCCAATGTTAATGATTAGGAAAACGGAGAGATCGTGATTTGGATAAATAATAACAAGATAAGTTTACTAGATAAGATGAAGGATGAAGATGATGAAGGGAAGAGAGAGAGAGAGAGAGAGAGAGAGAGAGAGAGAGAGAGAGAGAGAGAGAGAGAGAGAGATGAGGAGAAAAAGAAATAAAAACAAAGAGATTGGGAGAGAGGGAGAAATTATCATCATGAAGACGATTTGAGAGCCACGTCTAAGTTATAAATTGAATTTTATTATTACAATCACATCGACATAAATGAGTACAAAACTGGGAGAGAGCGTGGTGGTTGAGTGAGATTCTGATAAAAATGATGAAATTCAACTGAGAGAGTGTAAAGTGTTATAAGAATAAAAAAGTTCATTTTCAGGGGACAGAGAAAAAAAGTTCTTTTTCTGTTAATGAGAGATAGAGAAAGTGAAAATAAGTTTACAATTGTAACTTTCGTTTCCTTGAATATCTTTTCCTTTTTCATCATTTTCACATTTTCCGCAGGAAAAAAAGTTCATTATCATGGGTAACACTTCACCTTAGGTAATATTTGTTTTTTATTTCTCTTTGACATGAACAAAAAGAAACAACTTGAGGTAAATCGCATTAATGTATCTCAACAATTTCATTGTTTCACAATTTGTTTTCATCATCATTTGGGTGTAAATTATTACCTTTATAATAGTTTCAGGGTGAAAACATAGTTCCCTTTGATGTTTTATTAACAAATCATGTAAATGAATTTAATCTGTTGATGTCTTTTTATTTATTAAACTTTTCGCATTGTTGTTGAATTTAAATTGTAAATTAATTTTCATTCAGCACGTTGAAACTTCATGAATTATCATCTATTGTAAATATAATGAATTTATGTTATAGTTGATGGTCAGTCAACATTTTCTCATTCAATATTTGGCTTGACCTTAACTCTGGTAACGGTAAATTCAAATCTATTGTTTTCCAATGTAAGTTAACTGGTTTTTTTTATATAATAACCTGAATATCAAAATGTAATAAATATAAAAGATGATAATGAATTTCATCCTCCCACACTCATCATCATGATGAATTCATTGAAATCCCTATTGAAAAGTTAACACATTGGATATTATTCCTTGATGGTGATTTTTATTAATATTATTTTCTTTATCACCTAAACTCAATTCTATCATGAAATACAATCAGATCTCATTTTTTCCTTCGGAAAGCTTAATGAGAATCCATTAGGTAACAAAAAGGTATCTTATAAATGTTACCTTGAAAGAGAAAGATGATAATTTCAACCATAATATGATAAGAA